AGTTTTGATTTAGTAAATACATTGCTCACCCTCTTTGAATGAGATTGAGCTCACCGCTAAATATCCCTTGCTCTCCACATGCTGGTGGCAGCTAAGTGCTCACTGGGAACAAGTGAGTTTGAGAAAGCTAGTGGTAAAATGATGTAAGTCAGCACAGTGTAAGCCAGAAGGCATCTGTCTGTGGAAAGATGACAGCTCACAGTGGATACAGTGGGGAACCGTGCTGAGCTGATCACTGTGTGCTCACCAGCACATTCAGGACTGGAGGCAAACAAGCACTGTCATTGTTTTAGGGACATGATGTCCCATACAATGAAGCCTCTGCTACCACAGCTGTCACTTAGGATTTTAATTCATCCTTTCACATTTCAACAGCCCAGTAAACCCAAAGAGCAAGGGCACTTCACAGACCTATTTCAGGCTATCTAAAGGGTGATGCCTTTTCCTGTGGTTTTCCATGGCACAGAGGTACCTAAATCATATCACAAAGAGTAATGGCAGGGATCAGAAGTTGTCAATAGCACTAGTTAGTCTATCCAGCTTCTCAGTGCCTCTCCTGCTTGCTCACAGACTTTGGTGCTGTGGGCAGCTCCAGATCACTGTCACACCCCACCTTACTCTGCAGGTGGGGAGATCAGGGTCACCAGCCAGACCCACGTACCAGGGCTGGTTGTCTGAATGCCACTACAGCTGTGACATTAATTTACCCTAAACCAGGCTGCCAGGAGAACCAAACTGAGCACATAAAGACAAATTTGCAGCACATACAAATGGAAAAGTTATTCTCAGATGCAAAGAGCTACAAACTCCAGACGCTACAGACTGCAAATACCATTGAGGCACAGCAGACGCATGCAAGGTCCTTCTCAAAAAGGAGTGCTGGTAGGAAGGGCTAAATAATCTGCAGAGTCTCACCTGGCCATGGCCAGGTAACATGAGAGAGCAAGTGTCATCAATTCGACCTTGCATCCTCATTCCTCACCTCAGATGTCCTCAGCACAATTCTTCATTCACTGCAAAGGAGAGGTACTCTAGTTGTTTACAGAATGCTTACAAAGCCTCAGCACAGCCTGCCTTGGGATTACAATTCCGTCTCAATTTTTAACAGTTTTACAGCTCACATCAGCCTTTTAATACCACAGAGAAGTTTTAGCTTGTTTCTGAAGATCACACCTCATACATTGGAGCAGAGCACAGACACTTTTGCCATACACTGTTTTCTCTAAGCATATGGAGATAAGCCTTTACCTCAGTGAAATTCCTGCAGAACAAGTTAAGTGGCTGTGCTACATATTTAACCTTTCCTTCCCCTTTCACCCACTGATGCAAGTTTACACTTGAACCAGATCTTGTTAGCCTGAGACACGCTGTTACTGCTTTAGCCAGAATTATTTAGCTGTGTTCCCCCAGAATAAGCCCTCCTCAGATCAGGTGATGTGCTTCTCAAGTCTAGAGTTATACCACAAGAAAGAAACCAAAGAAAATTTTCACAGTTGCTCTCTGACCTGCAAGGAATCCTTCTCCACCAGCTTCAGGGACATACTGAACACCAAAGAATACTTTCCATGTGTACTACCATACCCCCAAGCCACCTAACAGCCTGGTTCTACCTTAAGGCAAGGTCCACCTTTAAAACAAACCAACTCTTGCCCTGCACTTTTTCCCCCACATGTTGCTGGTTTTCTCCAATCAAATGTCTTTTTCAGAAGGTCAATAGAGATTACAGAGAGGTGCAGTTATGAGCACACAGAACTGTACTTTGAAACCTTGCTCAGCCTGCCACAGAGCGGTACCATCTCCTTAAACTGCACACAATTAAAACTCAAGTTTGCTAATTGATACAGGTTTGTGCTTATAAAAGCACAAAGTAAATGTTACTTTGGACTCCATGAAATTCTTGGCATTCTACACGTTAAAGATGATTAGGCAGGACTTGATCATATCTGATTTGGCTATTTATTGTGTTCTGTTGTTTTTATTGTCAGGGTGGTTTGTTTTGTTGGGTTGTTTCTCTTGTTTTGTTGGGGTTTTCTTTGGTTTTGTTTTGTTTTGTTTTTTGGGGGGTTTCTTTGTTGCTGTTGTTTTTGTGTGTGTGTGTGTGTCTGTTTGGGGTTTTTTTTTGGGGGGGTGGTTTTTTGTTTGTTTTTTTTTAATTGGCACACCAAAAGGTTATATCAGAGCGCTGATATGAGCAATAAAGAATTCATCAGACCAAACATGATTAGAAAAAATTCTCTGGAAGCAGGATGAGTAGGACAAACACTGCTTCAAATACAGGCCCACTTAAGTCTAAACAATAAAGTTGCTTCAAAAGCCAAGTCTGACAGCCCCAGAAAAAGGCACACAGCACTTTCAGATAAGGTTCTCTTACTAACTTTATGTTTTGTTGCTATCAAGGTTCTGTGAAGAAAAGCATGTTGTGCCATATATTTTATTAAAGCCCACCCACAGAGATCTTCCTTCTCTGCCAGGCAGATGACAGCTCCTGGCCTCAGCACTGCCGGCAGGAGGAGATGCTACCCCAGGCACGTCAAAGCTCTGAGGTTTTTGCCCCAGCAAAGACATCTCCCCACTACTTCCCATTGCCTCAGCTTGGAGGAAGTGCTTGGCTTTGTCTGGTTTCACTTGATGGCATATGATAGCCCCAGTTAGAGCAGAAATGAAGCCAATGAGGAAACTCAGATTGTGAAGTCACCGTTAGCACAGCTACAGCCGTTACAGCCACGGCAGGAGCTGTGCTTGCACAAAACCAGTTCTTTATGAGCAGGGCCACCTCCAACGCTGCTTCCAGAAGAGTTGGGGCATCCAGTGCCACCAACAGAGGCCAGGAGACCCATCCCAAAGCACAGTTCAGCAAAGGGCAGTATGACCAGCTCTCACCTCCTAAGTTTGAGGTGCAGTGCTGCAGGCTGACCTCATCAGCATTACACAAGCAGTATCCTGCACTTGGCAAACTCAGTGAGGCTGGTGACTTGTAGCTCGCTTCACCTCGGCCAGGCTGTGTTCAAAGCCTGCAATGTTTGTCAAGTTTGGCTGGAGAGCACTGGCTCCCAGAAGGAGCAGAAGGCAGGACTGGCCCAAGCACAGCATGTCACCAAAGCCCCGTAAGCAGAAGGAAGAGCATCGCTGTGGGAAGAGGCAAGAACAGGGACTCACAGACAAACATGGTGATACAGGGAGAACTCAAGTCCAGAGAAGAAGAAAAGGGAGGCTGGAACAGGAAAGAAAGTGAGGGACTAAAACAAGGACAAGCAACAGCAGCAACAAGCTTAGCCCAGTAATTGTGCTAGGACATGGCAAGGAGGAGTCACGCAGATTAAATATGTGGTTTGACAGAAGCTGTCTTCTCCAAGCAGTCCCTGTCCTATTTGTCTGCAGTTCAGCTGGGAAGTTTCAACATGCCCTCAAGCCAGTAACCCATCACACAGGATAATCAGGACAGCTAGAGCCACTCTGACATAAATGCCTCAGCAGAAAGCTTAAGGACAGCACAGGAAAAGGAGGGAGCTCCTCTTGGAGCAGACTCTGCAGAGAGCACATGGCTTATTTCAAGAGGCAGCTCCTGGCAAGGTTAAGATGCTTTAAGTCTCCCAGCGGCCAGGATGGAGGAGAAGGCAGGAGCACATAGCCCTTCCCCTCAAGAACAGGTTCAGCAGTGACCTACTCAAGCCAGCAGTGGCAAGGGAGCTCCTCCAAGAGCTGCAGGATTAGGCAGGCACACAGTGAACAGGGCTCAAGGCAGGGATGCTCCCGTCAGTTCAGCAGGAGGAACTTGCCCAGCAATAGCCAGATCTCAATAGCATTTGTCAGCTGATGATTTGATTACATAAGAAAGCTCTGCCTCAGAAAGGCCTGTCCAGACTGTATGTTTTGAATTCTTAAAGCAGAGTACCAACAGTCCTACAGTTCATTAAGATTGCACACAATGAAAATCCAGAGGCACCTACTGTTTCCTTGTCTCACGAGAACACTTGCTTTCATAGCTAACAGACAGAAATCCTCTCCACCCCTTCTAAGAGGGGTGCTGCAAGGATATAATTATTTTTTTAACCACTCAGAGCTTGAAGATGCACTGTTTTATTTTTTCACTGTTTTATTTCACTCCAGAAGACATGGCTTTCCAAAGCAGTGCCACTTCACAGAATTCCAACATGCCCAGCAGGTGTGTGCACATCTGTCCAACAGCTGGACAGAGCCACCAAAGCCACTCACCCTGCTCAGGTTGTCACCAGAAGGCATTTACACAGCCTTCAGCCTAGGGCTGCAGGTAACATTAGCCTAAACACAGTCAAATCTCATTCTTCATTTGAAAGATGGGCAGGTCAGGGAAAAAACCAAAACACTTCTGGCAAGTAGGAGACTTTCTACAGCAAGAGAGGAAGGGCTCTGTCATCAGCCTCTCCGAACTGGAAAATAACCTTTAAAGGGATTCAGCTTCTTCCATGGGAAGCGGCATTTTACTGCTGAAAAGTTATCTACAGAAGAGTCTCGTACTCCATCTATTTCTGAGCTGGTTAGTGGAGGCATAAGGAGAAATGGTGTCTGAGCATGGAAACTCAGCCTATTTCACGGCCCAAATCAACTCCACAGACTTAACAGGCTTTAAAAACCTCAGCATCCATCACCGCTGGCGGATACCGGCTCAGGCCAGAAACCCAAACCAAGTGGAGACATCGCCAGCCCCGCACACCTACAGCCCGGGTCCAGCCCGGACAGAGCGCTCGGGGAGAGCCTGCTCGCCCTCAGCCCCAGCCCCCGCCGCAGCTTTCGCGAATGGTTACTCATTAATCAGAGGAAAACCAACAGCAGCCACAGCGTGCGGAAGAGCACCGGCCAGAAACTCCCCCGGTGCGGGAGAGGCTGGGACATTCCCGGCTGTTACTGAGGAGCCGCGCTGGGATGTGCGGCGGGGGCCGAGCCCGGGCAGTGCCCTGTTCTCGCAGCCGCTCCCAGAGCGGGGACCCCTCTCTGCCCAAGCCCGCCCGCCCCCCGGCGCTCACCGTGGTGGGACATGGGCAGCACCTCGTTGCCGGTGCCGCGGTAGTTGTAGATGACGGCGGCGGCGGCGCCGCGCTCTGCGGCCAGGCGGATCTTGTCGGCGAAGGAGCAGCCGCCGCCGCGCTGGATGAGGGCGAGCCAGCCCGGGGACCCGCCGCCGGGCGGGGGGGCCCCGCTGAAGTTGGTGAGCGCGTTGCAGGCGTTGAAGGCGTCGGGGCTGTCGGGCAGCACCAGCAGCCCCTCGGCCGACTCCAGCGGCGAGTCCAGCCCGTACAGGCCGCTCTC